GTTTCTCCACCATGACAGTGCACCCACCTTCTCATTCGCGGTAGCAAGGACTCTTTGAAGATTTATTTTTGAAACCTTACTCCGTTTTCCCTGGTGGTGGTGGTGGTAGTTGTGGTTGTGTGCCGTGGAGTTGGTTCTGACTCATAGTGACCCCGTACAGGGTTTCTGAGGCTGTAAATCTTTAGGGAAGCAGAAAGCCTCATCTTTCTCCCATGGAACAGCTGGTAGTTTCGAACTGCTGACCTTGTAAGTCACAGCCCAATTTGTAACCACTACAACCTTGAATTTACCCCTTTAGACTTCTTTATGGTCTCAAAACTCAAAGAACATTTAAAAGAAACACTTTGTTTTTTAAATGTTCTTTGACATCTCAAGGATGTCTAAACTGGTGTTTTGACGTAGTGTAAATTGAAAAGCACATAAATTTTGAGGGGAAGGACTAGAGAGATGAAAACACCATCTTCAGACATGTAGGTGGAAGGTATGTCACTAAACAGTAACTTCCCATTTTGGTATTTTTGTTTAATAAAATGTTCTATGATTTTGTAGTAATATTGTTATTCCTACAAGGCTTCATGCCCTGGAGCAGCGGAGACAAATTTACCAACTCCAAGTTAGAAAACAGAAGTTTATTAGAATGTGGCGCAAGCAGGGAGTTCCATCAGTAACATAGGCTGTCTTTACTGGAGTCTTAGCTGCTATCAGAATACATAGAGCTGATACATTTTTACACTGGAATGTATGCCCTGGGGGGAGTCACTACTTTGTCAGGTGCTGCAGGTAAGTCACAAGATAATCACAAGATGTAAATGTTGACCATAAAAGTAAGTAGCATTTGTGACATCAAGCAAGCTGATGTCGTAACTACCCTCCAGGCATAATTGTCTAACTGGCCACATATACTTGCCCTTGAGCAATACAGAAAGTTATAAAAATTCCACAGAGGCTGCAGTGAAGAACAGGGCAAGCATGATGTAAGATAGACTAATATAAATATGGAGTAGGTTAGGTTAATGTTGTATTATAGTACTTTAATAGGTTACAATATTTTTGTTTGCTTTTATTTTGATGGGGTATCTTTATAAGGGATTTTTCTAATTGACTTTGTAAATATGATTTAATTTTCTCCTTTTCAGTTGTGTTACATGTACATTTCTCTATAATCTTTCAATTTCAAGCAATTCCACAGGGATAAAAATAGGTTCTTTTCTTATTCAAGTGTAGAAAAGAATAAAGTTGTCTAAAGCTTCTGCTACATTATAAGATTTATTTTCCTATTTTTTAAATTGTTTTATTTTTTATTGTGAATTGAGTAAAGGTTTACAGCAGATCATCAGTTTAAAATTCACTAAATTTAGTTTAATCGCAATGATTGCAATCCCTTCCTTGTAAGGACAGTTGTCCTACTTCCTCCCTGTAATTCTCATTTCCATTCCATCCTCCCTCCCAACCCTTCTGAGCTTGGTCTGTAGGTCAATGTTGCCGTTTTGATTTTGAGTGGTTGACCATTCTAATAGATTACAATACTTTTTTTTAAAACTTTTTATTGTGAATTGAGATGATATTTATAGAAAAGATGATGAGTTTTACATATATTTTGCTTCATTGCAATGATTGCAATAGCTTCCATGTACAGTTAATAGTATTTACCTCTATTTTCTTTTTCTCTTACACTACTCACTGTGTCTCTTGCTACCTTCATCTTTCCTCTGTCAACTTCCCTCTTGTTGTATATTGCTTGCCCATGTTAACATGTGTCTACATTATTGTAAATAATGCTTCAGTGAATGTTGTTGCTGTTAAGTGCCGTTGAATCGATTCCGACCCATAGCGACCCTGTATATGGTTTCCAAGGAGCAGCTGGTGAGCTTGAACCACCGACCTTGCAGTTCAAATGACTTTGCAGTCTGACGCATTAGCCCATAGCACCACACCAGGACTCAGAGACTATCGGTATGCCTGTATCTAGTCACGTCATAGTTCTTATTTCTTGAGGAGATATGTTGCTTGGTCATGCGGTATTTCTGTTTCCAACTTTTTGAGAAAGCGCCATACCATGTTCCACAGTGGTTGCACCTTCTTACAGTCCCAGCAGTAGTGTAGGAGGGTCCCAGTCTCTCTACACCCTCGCTAGCATTTTGTTTTGTTTTGTTTTAACTGTGCTGTTAATGCTGGAGTAAGCACTGGGCCCCAAGGTCAGTTTGATCTACAAAGTCGGTGGTTCAAAACCACAAGCCACTCATCAGAAACACTATACAGGTTCACTATGAGTCAGAACCCACTCTACAGCAATTAACATCAACAACAAAGATGTTATTTCATTGTTCTTTTAATTTGTACCTCTAATGGATAATGATCTTCATATGTTTGTTGGCTGCCAAAATGTCTTCTTTGAGAAAGTGTCTGTTCATGTCTTCTGCCGATTTTTGAATTGGATTATGTGTTTTCTTCTTGTTAAGTATTATATAAATCTTAGAGAGTTGTCCTTTGTCCCATTCCAAAGAGAGGTGATTCAACAAAATGTGTAAATCAACAGATAATATAACTAGTATCACATACAAGTAAAATTTACTAAAGATACTTCTGAAACAGCTGAAATAAGTACATTGACAGGGAACTTCCAGAGGTTCAATCCATGTTCAGATGAGGACGTGGAATGAGGGATATCACTGCTGAGGTTAGATGAATCTTGACTGAAAGCAGAAAATAACAAAAAGATGTTTATCTGTGCTCTATGGACTATGCAAGGGTTTTTGTGTGGATCGTGACAAGCTATAGATACCATTGTGA